CAGGCATAAAGCTTTTTTTGTTATCAGTAATCATCAAGTAATCTTAACTTTTTGTGTGTCAGTATTTAACTTCTAGTAATAGTTACAGTTATGTTAAATATAAAATATTGACACTAATTTAATATTAACAACATAAGGGTTTAGTATGAACTTATAATTTATATAAATGAAAGATAAGTTTTCCAAATGGTACCAATTTATGTTGCCTTAAAATGTGTGTTGGGGACAGCAGATGGCATAGCAGTTACATCACTGGACTCCTACATGACAAATTGCAGTTCAAGTGCTAGACCTTAACCCAGTGGCTTGAAAATCACGCTAAGTGCGTGTGTGTGTAAGCCCAAGATCCTCGGAGAAGAATCGAGGAAAATGGATTATGGCATGGCCATCCCTCTGGGAGGGCAATGTCTCACTTCTCTTCACTCTCTCTGTCTCTCCCCTGTGAGCGCACGTGCTATAAGGCAAAAACCTCTTTTAAAACAGTGTATATTTTATCCCATAATATATACCACTTAATTGGAATGTAAAAAAAAAAATCTGTTGTCCTTTGGATTCAAGTTTTTTTTATTGTATTTATTATTTATTATTATTATTATTACTATTTTCTTTGCAATAGTGCATATGCATTCACCAGAGAGAGGCAGACAGAGAGAGAAAATGAGCAAGAAGGAAAGTGAGAAAGCAAGCTGCCAAGTCCGGGACTTGAACCTTAGTAGCCATGTGGGAGTCCAGTGCCTTAGCCACCATGCCACCTGCTGGCCCTGGATTCAGATATTTTTAAAATGGCAGTCATGTGATTTATTTTTAAATGCTAAGTACTCTATTTGGTAATAAGTATTATATACCTTCTTGTGAAGTAAAAAAAATGAATTATTAATCTCTGTGACTCTGATATTTCTGTTTTCTGAAACTATGTAGAATTAGATCAGATGGGGTAGCTCTCATAACTTAGATACAGACTGTATTATAATATTTATTAATTTGTCCTACTGTTGCCTACTAATTCTAGGTGCTTCAGTTTTTGCTCAGACTTGTGTTTAATCTTACATGTTTGTAGGTGTGGAACTCTACTGGAATTATTCGCTGCTATAATGATGAGCAAGACAATGCAATAGATGTGGAGTTCCATGATACCTCTATACACCATGCTACACACTTATCCAACACTTTGAATTATACAATAGCGGATCTTTCCCATGAAGCTGTTTTGTTGGCATGTGAAAGCACAGATGAACTAGCAAGGTAAATTTGAGATTATTCCAAAGAATTTGACACTTTTGATCCTTTAAATACATTTGTTGAAATTAAAGACACAAAGTTAATAAAACAGGGCCTGCTCTGTGCGACAGTTAAGTGTTGCGCATTGAAAAGTGGGTCCCACATGGCTTACTGCAGTTAGAATCCTGGCCTCTGCAGTGTGAAACACACACCAGGCATATGCATGTGTGCCCCAGGTCCTTACAGGATGGAGATATGGAGGAAAAGGGAGATTTGCATGACCACGGCCCACTGGGGGTACTTTCTCTCTTCTTGCACTCCTTCTCTCTCCCTCCCTGGCAAGCACACTCATCCTCTAGCAATAAAAAGAAAAAATTCATAAAGCAAAATTATCTTTCTGTAGTTTAAAATTTCAGTAAGTTTTTTGATATAAAGATCTCTTAGACTGTACATCTGTTTCTACCCACTTGTCCTCTCATTACATTTTCTAACTACATACCAAAATGACAAGTCATAATTTGTAATATATGGGAAATGGGATTATTTTTTGCATCTTTACTGTTTTCTGTTACTATAGTAGTCCCCCCTTAGCCACAGTTTGTATTTCCACAGTTTCGGTTACTTCACAGTCCAAAAAAGATAAATACAGTGTAGCACAGTAAGATATTACTTTTTCTTTCTTTTTTTTGGAGAGGTTTTTGTTATAGGGCACGTGCGCTCGCCAGGAAGACAGAGAGAGACAGAGAGATAGAAAGTGAGAAATCACCTCCCAGGGGGGATGGCCACGCCGCAATCCCTTCTCCTCCATTCTCCTCTTGGGATCTTGGGCACACACGTACATGTGCCTGGCGTGAGTTTAAGCCACTGGATCCGGGATGCGAATCGCAAGTCCAGCGACATAGCCATTACGCTAACTGCTGGTCCCACACAGTAAGATATTTTGAGGGAGCTGAGGACAGACCACAGTCACATAATTTTCATTATAGTATATTATAATTGTCCTATTTTATATTTGGTGTTAATAGTAATACTCTTTCTGGGTTAAGAGTACATCTTTATCAGGGCATATTTGGTGTTAATAGTAATCTCTTTCTGGGTTAAGAGTACATATTTATCAGGGCCAGCTAGTACAGAATTTTTAGAAAATAAACATTTCCCCAGAATTTTACACTTAGATGTATAACTATGGTTAACAGTTTGATGTATATCCTTATAGATTTCTTTCTTTCTAAATCCCCCTTGTTTTAGTTTATCAAGGTCTAACTTACATATAATAAAATATACCCATTTTAGGGTATCCAGTTTGGTGAGTTTACGTATGTATACAGACTGAGAAAATTACTACCACAATCAAAATGTAGAATATTTTGTATCATGCAAAGATGTTTCCTCATATCCCTAATTCAGTCCCATCTTTGGCCAACAATTTATTTTATTTTATTTTTTGGTCATTACAGATTTGAAACCTCTTTGAAAAAGGGGAAAACATATAAAAATGTACTATTCAACTTGCTTTTTAACTTAATGTATTTTAGAGTTTACATATTTTGATAGGTAAGTAGGTAGGTAGATAGATAAACATATACATAGAGCAGAAAATAGGATGAAAAAGCAATGAATACAGAATACATTTTTAAAAATAACTTTTCTCAGATTTTTGTTATAGCTAGATTGACCTCTTAATCTCATTTCTGTGGCCGATCATAGTACTGATAATATTCAGTGGATTTTACTGTCTCCTAGGGGATTTGAAATTAAAGTCCTTCTGATTGGATATTTGTTCTTCACTGCTTAAAGTGTGTCCACAGGGATCAACAGTTGGCATAATGGCTATGTTGCTGGACTCCCATGTAGTTAACCTGGACCCAATGGCTTAAACTCACACTGGGCGCATGTGCGTGCGTGCCCAAAATCCCAAGAGGAGAAGGGATTGTGGTGTGGCCATCCCCCCTGGGGGGTGATTTCTCGCTTTCTGTCTTTCTGTCTCTCTCTGTCTTCCTGGCAAGCGCACGCACCCTATAGCAAAAACCTCTCAAAGGAAAAGAAAGAAAGAGTATCCACATGTAGGGGCATGAGTCACCTGGGTGCTTACTGAAAAAGCAGAATCTCAGGCCCTGTTCTGGACCTTCTGAATCAGAACTTGTATTTTAACAAGATCCTCAGATGATTGAGTACATATTAAAGTCTGAGATACACTATGTTAGGTCATTTAACATTCTAATTTGTACATTATAGGAACTCAATACTTGATCGTTGAATTAAATTAGTTTATTAAAATAAATCAGCATTGGTTCACTCTCTAAATCAGAATATCTTGCATAATTAGAACATTTATTTTCATTTGCAAGTTTTATTTTAGACACTTTCTTTGTTTTCCTTATATATTTCATAGCTATATACATGGGGGTCTTCAAAAAGTTCATGGAAAATGCTTAGTATGAAAACTGCATGGATCTCTAATTTTTTTTGCTCAAAAGTAAATTTGTACTTTAGTATAATTTTTCCATGAATTTTCTAATGTCCCTTCATACAATGTTACCTGTTCATTTTAGTATTGACTAGTAAAATTACGATTTGCAAAACTATTACTAAGATTCTAGATAACTAAGCCTATCTATATTCCGAAGCCTAAAGATTTTATGTTTAATAATAAATGTATTTGTGGAACCAGCAGTTGGGGCAATGGACTTCCCCATAGCTGACTGTGGTTCGAGTCCTGGACTTGATGGCTTAAACTCACGCCAGGTGCATGTGCATGTGTGTCCAAGGTCCTGAGAGGAGAATGGAGGAGAAGGGATTGTGGCGTGGCCATCCCCCCAGGGGGTGATTTCTCGTTTTCTGTCTCTGTTGAGTGCACGTGCCCTATCACAAAATCTCTCAGAAAAAAAAAATGTATTTGCACAAAGGAAAAAGGCTGAAACATCAACTTATAGCTGTGGTTGGTAATTCGTTTGGTAGGATTATGTGTGATTTTTTGTTAACTGCTGTGAGAAAATTGTGGCTTAACATTTTTTTAAATAGAACTATTTAATTTTATTTATTTATTTATTATTATTATTATTATTTAATTTGACCAGAGAAAGGGAAAGTGAGAAAGCAAGCTGTCAGATTGAGGACTTGAACTGTTGGTTGGCCCTATGGGAATCCAGTATATTAACCACCACACCACCTATCAGCCCCTGTTGGCTAACATTTTGATGCTTCCTTCCCTTTTGAAAAACTTGGTGTGATTTTGTGTGCATTTATAACATAGAATCACATTTGGCAGTTTTTAGCTTACCTTTTTCATTTAACAATGTTGTGAGGGTTTTCCTTTATCTTTAATTTTCTTCAGAGTCATGACTGTAAATGGTTTTAATATAGTTTATTTTAAGCATCTCTTCCTTCCTTCCCTCCTTTCTTTCTATCTTTCTTTCTTTCTTCTTAAAAATTTTTTGCCAAAGGGCACATGTGTTGGTCAGAGAGGGAGAAAGAGTACCCACTATGAGGAGTAGCCATGCTGTAATACCTTGTCCATCTCTCCTTCCTTTTGGTATTTTAGGTGCACATGCATATTTCACCTAGCATGTTCTCCAAATCACTGGATTTGGGACTTGAACTGTACCATTGGCCTTGTGGGATCGAGCTCCCTTAATTACTGGGCCACAGGCTGGCCCAAGATATTTCTTAATTAATTTCTTAAAGCAATTTTGTACATACATTAGTGGTATATAATAAAAAAATTAACTACGTGGCTCTGTTACTGGGGAATCTATGTATCTATCTACACATAAATATTTCATATGGAAGTTTAATTACTTTTGTTTCCATTTTTATAGCAAGCTTCATTGTCTGCACTTTAGTTCTTGGGATTCAAGCAAAGAGTGGATGGTAGACATGCCTCAGAATGAAGATATTGAAGCCATATGTCTCGGTCAGGGTTGGGCTGCTGCTGCCACAAGTGCCTTGCTCTTGCGATTGTTTACTATTGGAGGTGTTCAGAAAGAGGTCTTCAGCCTTCCTGGGCCTGTGGTGTCAATGGCAGGACATGGAGAACAGCTTTTCCTTGTTTATCACAGAGGTAGATTTTTCTGTCTGCCGTAATTTTGCCGTTACCTGAAGTAAAACAATTTACTTGAGCTTTGTTGTTGTTATTGCTCTTTTTGTTTTGTATGCCCTCTTTTGCATTTATTGTGTATTTGCATCATTGTGATTTTTGAATGTAGAGAAGTTTATTTACTAATAGCATTGAAAATAGAAACTTTTATAGAAAAATTGTATTATTGAGAGAATTCCAAGGTAAAGTTTGATTTACTTTTTTTAAGCTAAAGCTGCTCTTTTGACAAGCACAACCCCAAAACTTTCAGTGTTCACATACCTCAGAAATCAATAAGTCCCAGTGTGAAGGACCAGAACAACTTTGAATAGGAGTTTTAAAAAACTATTCCCTTTTTTTTCCTCATCTTATGTCTGCCTTCTGTCCCCACCACAATGCTAATACTGATTTTTTTTCTCTTTAAATATTTATTGTAACTTATGGTTTACATATAATCACTACACATCTTTGTAGGTTACAAAATGGTTTTTAAAAGCACGTATATGGTGTGTAATAAGCAAACCGAGGAAATAAACATATTCTCCACCTTCAACATTTAACATTATGTAGTAAACATTCAAAACCTGCTCCAGTGGTTTTGTGCAAGTATGTACTGAATTGTCTATGACATTCTTTAATGTGAGGTACAGTGGCCATGCCCCTGGGGTTGATTTCTTTCTCTCTCTCTGTCTCTCTGGCAAGCACACACACGCTATAGCAAAAATCTCTCAAAAAAAAAAAAGGTCAGGCAACAATCCCATAAATTAACAAAGATAATCTTAATTTAGCCAATGAAAAGAAATGATAATTTCCATGTAGAGGACTATGGGAGATAAGAGTTTATAATCTGACAAAAATATGTGAGTGTCAATTGCTGATCCAGTTAGAGATATCAATTACTGGTTCAGTTAGAGATAGGTGAAATTGTACATAACAAGAGCCCATTGCGAAGAGATAGAAAAGAATGTTTTACGCACTGTGAGTTCTTATAAGACCATAGTACTGCACTGTGCATAAAGAAGTCTTCAAAAAAGCAAAGATATAAAAAATTGGAAAAAGTTGTTTATAAGTGAAGATATGGTTAAAGCCAGTGATTTAGTGATTTATAGGCTTTACAAAGTTCTTGATTTTAACCTTTTTAAAAAAGTTTATTCCAAAGAAAGACTCAACTGTAGCACTTTGGACTTTTCTTCTATTATCTAGTTTTATACAATGAGTAATGGTTGTAATCAATGCACAAATTGGTGGATTTGTGTTTAAACCTGCTAGTGTGTAAATTCCTGTATCTACATTTAGTCCCTGGAGACAGCGTTACTGTCAGTACATTTGGACTTGCCCTTTTTTTCTAGTTTTGTGTTATCTTATTTCTATTTGTCTCACTTTAGCTTTCCTAGTATAGTAATCCCTTAAGTATTTCCTAAAGAACTGGTTCGTTTTGGTGAATTCATTCAGCATTTGTTTATCTGGGAATGATTTTATTTCTCCTTCCTGTTTGAAGGATGATCTTGCTGGGTATAGTACTCTCGGCTGAAATTGCTTTTCTTTCAGAGTTTTAAATATGTTTTCCCATTCTTTACTTGCCTGCATTGGTTGAGCTGGGAGATCTGGTGTTAGTCTAAGGAATAATGCTGAGACTGATTTGATCACAATTACTGATGATCACTCTATGCTTTTCGTTTAGTAATTCCATCAGAAATACTTTGTTCTCTTGACTACTGTGGTATCAGTTTTCTGATTTTTTTCTCCTCACTGGCAGCTCCTTTTTCACCTCTTTTATTGGCTCTCCTATGCTGACCATTTTGCTGGAGTGTAGCTTCTGTACCTTTCAATCTCTCTTTTTTTTTGGGGGGGGGGTTGTCTTTTTAGATTTTTGCCATAGGGTGGATGCACTCTCCAGAAAGAGAAAGGAAGAAGAAAAGTAAGAAATCCCTCCTCCCATGGAGGGGGTGCAGGGTAGCCATGCCACAGTTCCTTCTCTGTTCTCCTCTCAGGATTCTGGGCATGCATGCACATGCACTCAGTGTGATTTTCAAGCTGCCAGGTTCAGGACTTGAACCATAGTCAGTCATGTGGGAGTCCAGTACCTTTACCACCATGCTACCTGCTGGAGAATTTTTTTTAATTGCCGGAAGGTGTGTGCACTCTCCAGAGACAGAAAGAGAGCGAGGGGATGAAAGCATTACCCCAGTGGAGTGTGGTTATGCTGCAGTCCTTTCTTCTTTCTCCCTTTCTCTATTCTGCAGGGATTTGGGGCATGCATTTTTGACACATGCCTGGCATATTTTTCAAGCTGCCCAGCTAGGACTTGAACCCTAGCTGACCATATGGGGTTAGGGTCACTTAACAACTAGGCTGTAGGGCCTGCTAATCCTTGGGTGTTTTACCAAGACCTGTGCCTTAAATACATTTCTGTGTCCATGTTTTCTAAACTGCTAACACCAGCCTTACCTTCCCCTACCTTATATCACATTGCCCACTTGAAATCTCTATGTACAGTTTGTTTTTTTGTTTTTTGTTTTTTTTTGAGAGGTTTTTTCTCTATAGGGCACGTGCGCTTGCCAGACAGAGAGAGACATAGAGACAGAAAGCGAGAAATCACCCCCCCCCAGGGGGGATGGGCACGTACACACACGCGCCCAGCATGAGTTTTAAGCCACCGGGTCCGGGACATGAACCGTGGTCGACTACGTGGGAGTCCAGCGACATAGCCATTACGCTAACTGCTGGTTCCCTTAAATTTCTATGTACAGTTTTGACAGGCATTTCAGACTTAACTTGGTCACAATAAAACCTTTGATTTTTGTTTTTCCTTCCAAACTTATTTCTTAGTTTCCTTAGTTAAGTAAAGGAAATACTAGCGATCCAGTTGCTCAAGCCAAAAGTCTAGCAGTTATCCTTGATTCTTCTCTTTCTCTTTACTCTTTATATCCGCTCCAGATGTCCTCTCTTGAACTATTGTAGAAACCTCCTAACTAGGCTTTCAGCCTCTGTTCTTCAAGCGAGAAATCACCCCCCCCCAGGGGGGATGGGCACGTACACACACGCGCCCAGCATGAGTTTTAAGCCACCGGGTCCGGGACATGAACCGTGGTCGACTACGTGGGAGTCCAGCGACATAGCCATTACGCTAACTGCTGGTTCCCTTAAATTTCTATGTACAGTTTTGACAGGCATTTCAGACTTAACTTGGTCACAATAAAACCTTTGATTTTTGTTTTTCCTTCCAAACTTATTTCTTAGTTTCCTTAGTTAAGTAAAGGAAATACTAGCGATCCAGTTGCTCAAGCCAAAAGTCTAGCAGTTATCCTTGATTCTTCTCTTTCTCTTTACTCTTTATATCCGCTCCAGATGTCCTCTCTTGAACTATTGTAGAAACCTCCTAACTAGGCTTTCAGCCTCTGTTCTTCTCTTACGCAGTCCATTTCCACACAGCAGCCCAGGGAATCTTCTAAAGTGCATCACATCGTATCTCTCCTCTGCTCAAATCTCCCTTCTCTTTGGTTTTAGAATGAAGAATCACTGTCTTAGCATCACTGTCCAGGTAATCTGCAGACCCTCATAATCTCCCCTTGCCTGCCTCTTTAACCTCATCTCTTAACTACTTTTTCTCTTATCAGGTTCTGGCTTTCTTTGCCTCTTTGTGTTCTTCAAACTCTCCAAGCTCACTTCTACCTAGGATCTTTCTTTTCTTTTTTGGGGGGGAGAGATTTTCACTATAGGGTGTGTGCGCTTGCCAGACAGACAGAGAAAGACATAGAGACAGAAAGCGAGAAATCACCCCCCGGGGGGATGGTCACGCTGCAATCCCTTCTCCTCCATTCTCCTCTCGGGATCTTGGGCACGCACGCACACGCACCCGGCGTGAGTTTTAAGCCACCCGGTCTGGGATGCGAACCGCGGTCGACTACATGGGAGTCCAGCGACATAGCCATTACGCTAACTGCTGGTTCCCTACCTAGGATCTTTCTGTTAGGTCCTGTTTTCTCCATCTGTTATCATGGTTTTTCCCCTGGTGTTTGAATGGAAGACTCCAACTTGCAGTGTGCATCCCTGTTTAAATTTAACTTTTTCAGAGAGGCCATCTCTGTGTAAAATGAACTATTCAGTCTGCCATTAAAACATTATTCTTATGTATATATATGGTAACATTATTATTTTAAGTTTTTAGCTTTTTTTTTCTTCTTCTGTCTGAATACGACTTTTAAGAGAACAGTGGCTTTGCTTACCACTGTAGCCCCAATACCTAGGCCATTGCCTAGCATACACTACAATCTCTAAAATATTTTTTAGGTGAATGAAGGACTACTTAAAATGACTTCATATAAATAGTCCATATAACATTCTTCCACTTCTTATACCTGAATGGTGCCTCAGTTTTATAGGTTATCCATAAAAATTAGTGCTGCTTAGTCTAATCATTTATTATAAAATCAATTTACAGAAAATAATTTAAAACTCATTATAGTTCAATAACCTTTGATGCCTGATTTGTACTTTTTTTCACTAGGCACAGGATTTGATGGAGATCAGTGCCTCGGTGTTCAGCTGCTAGAGCTGGGGAAAAGGAAAAAACAAATTTTGCATGGTGACCCTCTTCCTCTTACAAGAAAATCCTACCTAGCATGGATTGGATTTTCAGCTGAAGGTAAGATAAATTTCTTATAGACATTTATCAAGAGGGTTTTTTTTTTTTGAGAGTTTTTTTTCACTATAGGGTGCGTGCGCTCGCCAGACAGACAGAGAGAGACATAGGGACAGAAAGCGAGAAATCACCCCCTAGGGGGGATGGTCACGCCACAATCCCTTCTCCTCCATTCTCCTCTCGGGATCTTGGGCACGCACGCACACGCGCCCGGCGTGAGTTTTAAGCCATCGGGTCCCGGACATGAACCGCGGTCGACTACGTGGGAGTCCAGCAACATAGCCATTACGCCAACTGCTGGCTCCCTATCAAGAGGGTTTTATTCATAATTCCTTTAAAGTTAAATTATCTGTATTTTATATTTAAATTTCTATGTTTTAATATGTTAGCAAAACTGGAAACTGCAGTTGTTAGGCAAGATAGCCATGGTTTTATGTAGATCCCTTTTCATGAGAATTTTGATTAGAAAACTTACAATGAGGGACCAGCAGTTGGCGTAATGGCTATGTCGCTGGACTCCCAAGTAGTCGACCGCAGTTTGAACCTCAGACCTGATGGCTTAAGCTCATGCCGGGCGCATGTGCATGCATGCCCAAGCTTCCAAGAGGAGAATGGAGGAGAAGAGATTGTGGCGTGGCCATCCCCCTTAGGGGTTGATTTCTCACTTCCTGTCTCCCACTCTGTCTTTCTGGTGAGCACACGTGCCCTATAGCAAAAAAATTAAAATAAAACTTACAAAGAGAGAAATATGTTTTTCTGAAGGTTTATTAGATAGCAAGGAGGAAATACAAATCAGTGGTAAAGTTGTATCTTTCCAAGCAGATTATACACAGAAATTAGAAATTTTCTTTTCTTTTTTTTAAGGGAGATATTTTGCTATAGGGTGCGTGTGCTCGCCAGACAGACAGAGACATAGAGACAGAAAGCAAGAAATCACCCCCCAGGGGGGATGGCCACACCACAATCCCTTCTCCATTCCCCTCTCTGGATCTTGGGCACACATACACACTTGCCTGGCATGAGTTTTAGGTTGCCAGGTTCAGGATTCAAACTGCTATTGACTGCATAGGAGTCCAGTGACCACACCATCTGCTGGTCCCCAAATTAGGAATTTTCTAAAACTGTACTGTCTTTTACAGTAACTGCCAGCCACATGTGACTTTTGAGCACTTGAACCATATGGCTAATCTGAACAGAGATGTGCAGTAGGTATAAAATACTATCTGAATTTTGTTTTAAGAATTATTTATTCAGTTTTATTTATTATCATTATTTTTAAAATTTGCTGTAGGGCACATGTGCTCACCAGAAAGGCAGACATTAAAAAAGGAAGCCACCAGGTCCAGGACTGAACCATAGTCAGCCATGTGGAAGTCCAGTGCCTTAACTACCACACATTTTGTTTATTTTTTTTAAAGAATATAAAAAAAAAGAATGTAGGGGGGCTGCAGGTGGTGTGGTGGTTGAGGGCGTTGGACTCCCACATGGTCTACCACGGTTCAAGTCCAGGACCTGGTGACTTGCTTTCTCACTTTCCTTCTCTCTCTCTCTCACTATGGCCCTCTCTGATCAAATTAAAAATAAATAAATGAATAAATAAAGTTAAATAATTCTTTTTTTAAAAAAAAGAATGTAGGGCCAGTGGTTATGTGGTGTTTAAGGCAGCTGGATCCCACATGACTGAGAATATAGTTCAAGTCCCAGACCTGGTGGTTTGGAAAACATGCCTAGTGCATGTGCATGCTTGCCCCACATCCCAAAGGGTGAGTGAAAGGCAAGGTAGGGGATTGTAGTGTGACCATACCCCTTTGGGAGGGGGGTGCTTCTCACTTTTTTCTGTTTAAGTAATAATTATTTTATATTGATTATGTGGTAAATGGTATTTCTGATATGTAAGATTAAATAAAATCAACTTAACCCTTTTTTTCTGATTTAGTGTGGCACTAAGCAATTAAAGATTGCATTTTGCCTCACATGGTATTTTTACTGGACACTGCTATTATAGACCCATTCATGGTTTATGACATGATTTGGAGGACATTGAGGAGTGTCTTATTTAAGGTATCTATTAACCCTGTCTCAAGGACTTAGATATTTCTACTATTGGAGAATCATGCTCTTCATTTATATCATTAGAGACATCCAGTTTGTGTTTAGAATAGCAACCATATCTGCACATGTTTTCTTTTGAGACATTATTAGTTACTGATGCTTTAATATGAGCATTGATAACTTTCGATGTATAGTCTTTTCCAAGTATCAATCAGATCCAGACTCTTAGGAAATTGATATTTGCAGAGTGAGAGGGATGTGAAGCCACAGCTAAGAAAAGTGGTCATCAGGAACCAGCAGGTGGCATAGTAGTTACATCACTGGACTCCCACATAGCTGACCACATTCGAAACCTGGACCTGGCAGCTTGAAACCTACACTGGGTGCATGTGCTTGCATGCCCAAAATCCCGAGAGGAGAATGGAGAAGGGATTGCATGTGGCCATCCCCCCGGGGGGTGATTTCTCACTTTCTGTCTTTCTCTCTCCTTCTCTGTCTCTCCAGCAAGTGCATGTGCTCTATAGCAAAAATCTCTCTCATAAAACAAAAAAGTAAAAAGTAAATCAGCAGGTGGCATTGTGGCTAAGGGCACTGGACTCCCACATGGCTGACCATAGTTCAAGTCCTGTACCTGGTGGCTTGCTTTCTCGCTTTCCTCTCTTTCTCTCTCTCTCTCTCTGTTTCTCTCTGGTCAAATTGGAGTGGATGAATAAATAAATAAAGTTAAATAAAAAATAATTCTTTGATTAAAAGAAAGTAAAGGGGTCATTAGATAATTTGCAGTGCACTTCTTTTTTTATTTTATTTTATTTTTTAAACTTATTTTAAAAATTCATTTATTTTAATTTGACCAGAGAAAGAGACACACAGATAGAGAGGGGAGGGGTGGAGTGAGAAAGCAAGCCACCAGGCCTGGGACTCAAACCATGGTCAGCCATGTGGGAATGTCCAGCGCCTTAACCACCATGCCACCTGCTGGTCCCCTACAGTGCACTTCTTGAGGACTGAGTGGAGTAAGTGGGAAACAGAGATACTCACTCTGTTTTTGAAGGTAAGATTTGCTTACCTGGGAGTTGGGAACAGTGGCAAGACCAATTAAGAGAAAAAGAAGAAAAGGGAATACCAAAGATGTATTTCCTTACATCATCACTTTAAATCCCTTTCTGGTCATTTTTCTAAGTCTCTAAACTAGGAGCCTTCAGGTCACATTTAACTTTTTTAAACTGAAATTGGATTTAAAATAATTATTGCTATATTCCAGCAGGTGGCATAATTTCACTGAAACTGTCAGGTTTTTTTCTTTCTTTTTTTTTTACTTTTATTTTTAAAGATAGATTCTTTTGGGGACCAGCAGTTAGCATAATGGCTATGTCGCTGGACTCCCATGTAGTCAACTGCGGTTTGAGTCCCTGACCCAGCAGCTTAAACTCACTCCGGGTGCGTGTGCATGTGTGCCCAAGATCCCAAGAGGAGAATGGAGAAGGGATTGTGGCGTGGCCATCCCCCCTGAGGGGTGATTTCTTGCTTTCTGTCTCTCTGTCTCTCTCTTTCTAGCTAGTGCATGCGCCCTATAGCAAAAAAAATAAAACCTCTCCAAAGGTAGATTCTTTTTTTTTTTGAGAGGTTTTTACTGTAGGGTGCCTGTGCTTGCCAGAAAGACAGAGAGAGACAGAGAGACAGAAAGTGAGGAAACCAGCAGTTAGCGTAATGGCTATGTCGCTGGACTCCCCCGTAGTCGACCACGGTTCACGTCCTGGACCCGGTGGCTTAAAACTCACGTCCGGCGCGTGTGCGTGCGTGCCCAAGATCCCGAGAGGAGAATGGAGGAGAAGGGATTGCGGCGTGACCATCCCCCCTGGGGGGTGATTTCTCGCTTTCTGTCTCTATGTCTCTCTCTGTCTGTCTGGCGAGCGCACGCGCCCTATAGTGAAAAACCTCTCAAAGAAAAAAAAAAAAAAGAAAGTGAGAAATCACCCCCCCCAGGGGGTTGGCCACACCGCAATCCTTTCTCCTCCATTCGCCTCTCGGGATCTTGTTTATGCATGTACACGTGCCTGGCATGAGTTTAATCCACCAGGTCCCGGACTCGAACCACAGTCAACTACGTGAGAGTTCAGCGACATAGCCATTACACTAACTGCTGGTCTCTTAGAGGTAGATTCTTGAGGGCCAGCAAGGTGGTGTGATGGTTAAGGCAACTGGATCAACTGCAACATGGCCACCTGTTGGTTCAAGTCCCAGACCCAGAAGCTTGAAAAATACCAGGCACATGTGCTTGCTTCCCCACAATCCCAAGAGGAGAATGGAGAAAAGGGGACTGCAGCATGGTCCTCCCCTCTGGGGTATGCTCTCTCATTTTTCCTCTCTGTCCCTCTGGCACGCATAGGCAACTATAGGAAATCAAAAAACAAAAAGAAGATAGGGTCTTGCCATGTCCCCAGCTGGGACGATAGGTATACGCCACCATGCCTGGTATGTTTTTAGACAGTCTTGGTATGTTGCCCAGGGCAGCACCAACATGCCTTCCTCCAGTCTCAGCCTCCCCAAGTCTGTGATTATAGGCAAATGCCACCGTTCCTTTAGATTGGACCCATGCCTCTTGTGTGCCCTCCACTTACGGAGCTTAATGTCTTAGCAGTTCCTGCCACAGAAGCTAGGCCCAGGATTTTCATTTTATAAAAGTTAAGTCATTTTATGTGCATTTTTTTCTTTTTTTGTTAGGTCTTATTCTATGTGGTTAGTGAAATTTTATAAGAAGTAATTTTGGATTATTTGCTTTTTTGTTTTGATTTTGCTTTTATGAACATTAAATCCTTTATATATGTGTATAGATGCCTATGCATATATAGATAGCTATATATATATTTGAAATAGGATATATTTAATAAATATGTACCTATGTCCAAGTAATTTCTTTTTCTGTTGGTGTATAGGTACCCCCTGTTATGTGGATTCAGAAGGCATTGTTCGAATGCTTAACAGAGGGCTTGGTAATACATGGACTCCCATATGTAACACAAGAGAACACTGCAAAGGAAAATCTGATCACTACTGGGTGGTTGGCATCCATGAAAACCCTCAGCAACTAAGGTGTGCTGTTAGAAAATCTTTACGGTTAATGGCTTTTTTTGGGAAAGGTTTTTGCTATAGGGCTTGTGCACTTGCCAGAAAGACAGAGAAAGAAAGCGAGAAATCACCCCCCAGGGGGGATGCATGCTCATGCCGCAGTTCCTTCTCCATTCTCCTCTCGGGATCTTGGGCATGCACGCACACGTGCCTGACATGAGTTTGATCCACCAGGTCTGGAACTCAAACTGTGGTTGACTACATGAGAGTCCAGCAACACAGCCATTACTCCAACTGCTGGTCCCAGGGCTGATGGGGTTTTTTTTGTTTTTTGTTTTTCTTTGGAGAGGTTTTTTCGCTATAGGGCGCACGCGCTCGCCAGGCAGACAGAGACATAGAGACAGAAAGCAAGAAATCATCCCCCAGGGGGGATGGTCACACCGCAATCCCTTCTTCATTCTCCTCTCGGGATCTTGGACACGCACGCACACGCGCCCGGCGTGAGTTTTAAGCCACTGGGTCCGGGACGCGAACCGCGGTCGACTACGTCGGAGTCAGCGACATAGCCACTAACTGCTGGTTACGCTAACTGCTGGTTTCCGATGGGTTTTAAAAAGTAGTTTAGGGGCCCGCAGATGGCATGGTGGGTAAGGGTGCTTGACTCCCATGTGGCCAGCCATGGTTCAAGTCCTGGACCTGGCAGCTTGCTTTCTTACTTTCCCACTCTCTCGCTCTCTCTTTTATACTCTGTCCCTCTCTGGTCAAATTAAAATAAATAAAGTTAAATAAAATAATTCTTTTTTTAAAAGTACTTCAAAATTTTTGTATGAGGTTTTTAGTTTATTCATTTATTTCTCCTATAAAAGAGAGAGAGAGACAGAAAGAGAGAAGGCACTCCCAACAGGGTCTTCACACCGCGATCCACCATTAGCCTCAGCTAGCCAAGATCATAGGCACATGCTTGTGTGCCTGATGTGCTCGGGGAGGCCCCAGAACATAAGTCTAGCATTTTTTCTATGTGGTTCCACTTAAATTATGATTACTACATAGTCTCCTATGAGGCTCTTTAAGTTGTTTTTGTTTTTTTGTTTTTAATTTTTGTTACAAGGTGCATTTGTTTGCCAGAGACAGACAGAAAGTGAGACTCACCCTTGCCAGGGAGGATGGCCATACTACAATCCCTTCTCCTTCATTCTCCCCTCAAGATTTTGGGTACACAACACATGTCCAGCATGATTTTCAAACCACTGGGTTTGGGGCTTGAACCATGGTCATCCATGTGGGAGTCCAGCACCTTACCACAATGCTACCTGCTGGACCCAACCTCTTTAAGTGTGTTTGTTTGTCTCTCATCATAGTCCATTTACTTATTTGTTTTTGTTTTGGTTTGGTTTTATACCTTCACTTGAAAATCAGCACTTAGTTCTTATCCACATTTACTGTTTGCAGATTTTTGAAAGTGGTAACAGGTACATAGGTCACCAGAATGTAGAGCTTGTGGGCGAATCTTCATCACCATTACGTTTGTGGACAATTGCACACGGATACAATATGGGATGTTCCTTATTCCTTTGGCCCAGACAGCTTTGTTGAGTCCAGTATTAATGTGCACATCTGGAGTTCCCATCTCCTTTATGGCAAATTTCTGGATTTCTTTGAGCGCCCGAGGGGCATGTTTCTTTTTTCTTTTTTTTTTTTTTTTTTTTTGAGGTTTTCGCTAGAGGCCGCGTGTGCTCGCCAGACAGAGAGAGACAGAAAGTGAGAAATCACCCCCTGGGGGGATGGTCACTCCGCAATCCCTTCTCCTCCATTCTCCTCTCGGGATCTTGGGCACGCACGCACACGTGCCCGGCATGAGTTTTAAGCCACTGGATCCGGGACACAAACCGTGGTTGACTACGTGGGAGTCCAGCGACATAGCCATTATGCTAACTGCTAGCTCCTGAGGGGCATGTTTCTTGAAACCACACCATGGATACACTTGTGAATGTTGGTGGTGTATTCCCAGGTTACCACCTTGTTGATGGCAGAATGGCCCTTCTTCTCACCACTCTTCTTTGCGGGAGTCATCCTATCTGACCTAAGTTGGAAAGAAAGCTCTTTTTTTTTTTGAAGAGATTTTTGTTATGGAGTGCATGCTCTCGCCAGAGAGACAAGGAGATACAAAGTGAGAAATCACCCCCTGGGAGGATGGACACGCTGTAGTCCCTTCATTCTCCTCTTGGGATCTTGGGCATGTACACACACGTCCTGGCATTAGTTTAAGCCACCGGGTCCAGGACTTGAACTACGGTTGACTACATGGGAGTCCAGCAACATAGCTGTTATACCAACTGATGGTTTAGGTTAGAAAAATTTCAATAGTTGCTTACAAAGTGTAGAATTCTCAGGCCATGTAGTCTCTTTTTTAAAAAAAAAAAAAAAAAAAATTATTTTATTTAACTTATTTATTTATTTATTTAAATTTGACCAGAGAGGGACAAAGTGAGAGAGAGAAAGAGAAACAGGGAGGGAGAGAGAGAGAGGGAAAGTGAGAAAGCAAGTTGCCAGGTTTGGGACTTGAACCTTGGTCAACCATATGGGTATCCAGCACCCTTAAACACCATGCACCTGCTGGCCTCAGTTCATTTAGTCTTAATCTTATGTTGAAGATTATCCTCTTCTTCAACATGGTATCTTCTTAGTTTAAAAGATTATTGGTAGGGGCCAGCAGTTGGCATAATGGCTATGTTGCTGGACTCCCATGTAGTCAACTGCGGTTCAAATCCTGGACCTGGTGGCTTAAGCTCATGTCTGGCGTGTGTGTATATGTGCCCAAGATCCCGAGAGGAGAATGGAGGAGAAGGGATTGCCACGCGGACTTCCCACCCGCCCCCGGGGGGTAATTTCTCGCTTTCTGTCTCTGTCTCTCCGTCCAATAGCAAAAAAAATCTCTCAAAAAAAAAAAAAGATTATCAGTAACATTGTGTAGGTCCTTAGTTGACAAAGAGGTCTCTGCTTTCATGGACGTTGTAGTCTGATTGGAGAGACAGAATAGAAATAAGTAAGATATTAATTATTACTTCTGCTAATTAATCTTACCAGACTAATAGATAGATAATAACAGAAGAACACATTCTGGGTTGGGGATCATGGAAGACTTTTAACACAGGTAGAATTTAAAATGAGACCTCAAGGCCAGGGTGTCTGTTAGAACAGTAGAATGAAAAGCAGTCCATGGGGAGTAAACTGCATGTATGAGGCCCACAGATCAAAAGGAACTTGGTATGTTTGAGGAACTGCAAGAATATAAATAATGGCTAAACTATAAGAAGGAAGGGTTGGGGGCCAGCAGGTATTGTGGTAGTTAAGGCACTGGATTCCCACATGACTGACTGTGGTTCTAGTCCTGGGCCCGGTGGCTTGAAAATATGCTGGGCATGTGCGTTTCATGCCCAAAATCTCAAGAGGAGAATGGAGGAGGGATTGCGGCATAGCCATCCCCCTGGAGAGTGATTTCTCATCTTCCCTCTCTCTCACTCTCAAGCGAGCACATGCGCCCAACTACAAAACAAAAACAAGTCATCCTTTTCTCTTGGTTTTAAAACACTCATAAGATTAATTTAGTGTGTTTGGGCCTACAGAAAGCATGATAGTCAAGGCAGCTGGATCCCACATGGCTGAGTCCTAGACCTGGTGGCTTCAGAATCATGCCAAGTTCATGTGCATGTGTACCCAAAACCCCAAGATGAGAATGGAGGAGAGGAGATTGTGGTCTGACCATCACCCCTAAGGGATGATTTCTCATTTTTGCTCTCTTTCTGACCCTCTCTGTCTCTCTCCAGGAAGTACACATGCCCTAAAGCAAAAAACTTTAAAAAAAGAAAAGAATAATATCTCGAAAACTAGGTTTTTTTTCTGGTTGTGTTCACTTCTTAAGTATTTATTATAGTACTGGCTATGTGGGCTGTGCAACACAAAGATAAATGAAGCTTGTAACCTAGAAGAAGTAGGCTTATAAAATCATTATGCTACTCTCAGATAAGTGAGTAAAGATGTACACGGAGTTCCCCTAGAAACTCTCATGCAACACAGAAGAGAAAGCAAAATTTGCTGACTAGGACAGGGTTAGTCTAGACATTGTCCCCATTGTTCTCCAATTTGGTATTTTTTCAACTCTTTAATAAGAAAATAGATTTTGTAATCAGAGGAAACATCTTTATAGTTCAAATCTTCAACGCTAATAAAAGGATTACAAATGTGCATTGATGCTCTGCTTTTATAAATTTGGCTGAGAAAGTAACCATTAATGAATTCCTAATCTGGGGCCAGCTTGTGTGATGTGGTTATGGTGCTAGACTCCCACATGGCCAACCACAGTTCAAGTCCTGGATCTGGCAACTTCCCCCCACTCCTGTGGAGCCCACCTGTGCTCTCTTTGGTGAGTGCATATGCCCTGTAGCAAATTTTTAAAACAGTAATAATAAATAAATAAATTCCTGATCTTTTTTTTTTTTTTTTAGTGTGGTAATTGCTTACCTCTTCTAAATAAAATAATTGAGCTAGGGAAAAAAATTTTTTTGTTTGGTTTAGGGCACATGTGCTCACCAGAGAGAAACAAGAGAGAGAAGGGGAAAGAGGGGTTGACCATCCCACAAGCTCTTCTCCATTCTCCTCGGGATTTTGGACAAGCATGCACATATGCCAGTGTGTTTTTCAAGTTACCAGGTCGAGGACTCAAACTGCACAGTTGGCCATATGGCATCCAGCTGCCTTAAACTCTGCCATGTGCTGCACCCACCATGAACTTTTCGAAGATTCCCTCATATACTTAGTCAAATTTAAACCCTTTTTTTAAAAAAAGAACTTGCGTAATTTTTTTAGAATTATTTTATTTAACTTTATTTATTTATTTATTTTAATTTGAACAGAGAGAAAGAGAAGGACATTGAGAAAACAAGCCGCCAGGTCCAGAACTTGAACTGTGGTCGGCCATGTGGGAGTTCAGCAGTCTTAACCACTGTGTCACCTACTGGGCCCTTGTTATGTATTATTAAACCAGCTATTAGAATAGTACTACTGGGGCCGGCAAGTGGCATGGTGATTAAAGGCGCTGGACTCACACATGGCCGACCATGGTTCAAGTCTCAGACCTGGTGGCTTGGTTTCTCACTTCCCCTCTCTCTCTCTCTCTCTCTCTGATCAAACTGGAAAAAAATAATGGTAATAATAATAAATAAAGTTAAATAAAATAATTTAAAAAAAAGAATAGTATTACTATTCCAAATTACTGGCTTTGAAAAATTTTTATTTTAGCAGTTTTTATGACAAAGTTTTTTATGGCAGGACTTTTCTTTACTGACAGGTGCATTCCTTGTAAAGGTTCTCGGTTTCCTCCCACCCTTCCACGCCCTGCTGTAGCTATACTACCCTTTAAACTTCCTTACTGTCAGATCACAACAGAGAAAGGACAAATGGAGGTACGTGGAAGTCTCGCCTTGACTCTGATTTGTTGCTGTACTACCTGTGATACAGGCACTTAAACACGGTCATGACAACCAACGTTGAAAGTTTATTACTCTGTAATTACATACATAATGCTAGCAGGGGTTAGTTGAAATCTTGCATTTAATTATTCTCAAAAGAGAACTAAGCTTTCAAAAAGCTAGTTTACCAAATTTTCTGCATATTAACTGGGATAGCTAGAAAACTGTTTAAAACACTCTATGTTCCTGTCTACCCCACCTTTTAAGGACAGAAAAATAAAGTCAATTACATTATAAAATAAACTTATACAAAGGAGGATTTCAGAGAACATTTCATTAAAAAACTGTTGATAATCTGTAATACTTGTCATGTGTTAAGGTCAGTTGGCTCTAAACAGTATTGTCTACTTTCGTAGGAACAGTTTTGGCGTTCAGTTATATTTCACAACTACCTTGATTATCTAGCTAAAAATGGTTATGAATATGAAGAGAGCACTAAAAATCAAGCAACAAAGGAGCAGCAAGAACTTTTAATGAAAATGCTTGCGGTGAGTAAAATAAATATACTGGAAAAATTAAAGTTAAGTACTTTTCTGTAGATGTAATTTCTTAAAGGTATGTGAATTAGCACTAAGTTGCACAAGCCAGGATTCTTAAGTTTTATTTGGTGGTGTTTTTCTCCCTTAAAATTTGTTTTCTTAGTGATGTTGCAATTAAGATGTTCAAAACATCTTGTAGCTAAAACCGTAGGCAGAAGTAGGTTATTATTTTTTTTTCTAATGCTATCTTCCTAAACAGCTTTTGCTCACCAATCTGTGTTTTAATTGACTCCTCAGTGACTCTGATGCTCAGTAAAGTTTGAGAACCACTGTTCTGGCTACTGCTTTCATCCCCAGGGCAGGGCAATTTAAGTACTTTGATCAAGCTTTTAGATATGTCTCCCTTTGTCCTCCTCTTTAAGTTAAGCCACTGTGTGGGTAAAATGTCTGTAGCCAGTGGTGCTGGCTACTAAGTGTATTTATCTTTTGAGCAGAATGTTGTAAAGTTGGCATGTATGTGGCATCCCTCCAGGGCGGTTTATGGAAAAGAAGATAATATTTCTTCTCTGCTCATCTTGCACACCACTGTAAGCCCTTGAGGGCTATGACTATCACTTATTCACTGCTGTATGCCAGACACTGACACAGTGGCTAAGAGAATACACAGTCGACCTCAGTGTTTCTTGACAGAGTAAATGGCCCAGTCTTTTCAGACCCTGGGTGACTCTTGGGTTTTCCTTTTCAAGTTGAAGAAGAAAGGTTTTGAGGGAAAAGTAATATCTAAGATTATGGAGCAAATTGTAACCTGTCTCCAAAAGATGGCATTCACTAGTGTCACCTCTATGCAACACTGCCTTGAGTTCAGTATGAAGGAAATTTATTGTAAAATAAGTTTTATTCCTTTTATAAAAGTATCATTGGTGATCCAGGAACTAGCATCCTTTTTACTTTATGCTGCACACATAAGGAAATATGTTTGACTGATTTACCATTTGGTGTTAGTGGGATTTGCCCCAAGTATTCGTTTTCCTCACTTTGCCAAAATTTATACAAAGTAAAAAATGTTGTTTTCTCTCTTTTTGAAAATGATGTTTCCTAAGAGATCTTAATAAATGCCCTTCACTATATATTTTATTTTATTTATTTATTTTTGGAGAGATTTTTTTTCTAAGCACGCGTGCACTCGCCAGAGAGGCAGAAAGCAAGAAATCACCTCCCAGGAGGGATGGCCACACTGCAATTCCTCCTTCTCCAGTCTTCTCTTGGGATCTTAGGCACACATGCACATGCACCTGGTGTGAGTTTAAGCCTCTGGGTCCAGGACCAGTATACCATCTGCTGGTCCCTCATTATATATTTTAAATATATAAAAATTAGAACAAGAAAAGGAAGTCTTTCATTTGGAAGTTGTAAAACTGTTTGTCGTAGAAGAATAACATAGACAATCACATTTGCAATTTAATGGATAAAGTTACTTGCTCTCACTCATTCATTTAGCATTCGTGTGCCAGCTCTGAGCAAGGTGGTAACTGATTTGCTCATTATTTATTTCTTCTTTGAGTTTCCTACTTTTGGGAAGTTATGGAGTAGCTAGAAAGCACATTGAAGAGAACTACATTTGGATTTTTAAAAATGTTTATTTACGATTATCATTTTTTAAATGCGACCAAGGAGAGACATGAAGAGAGAGAGAGAAAAAGAGGGAAAGTGAGAGAGCAAGCTGCCAGGTCTGGGACTTGACCACGGTCGCCATGTGAGAGTCCAGCACCTCAACCACTATGCCACCTGCTGGCGCCACTGCATTTGAATTTTAAACAAGTTTCTTACTTCCCATACTATTAATAGCTTAAAGGGATATGTTATATTTCACCAAATTCAAGCTATTATTTATTGTAAAATGCATCATTATTTTATTCATTTAATACACTGAGGCCAAAAAGAGCTGCCAATCAATAATAAGGTACTTTAAAATTTCAGAGATGTTAAAATGTGTGAAAATTGGGACCAGCAGTTAGCGTAGTGGCTATGTGGCTGAACTCCCATGTAACCGACCACCGTTCAAGTCCCCGTCCTGGTGGCTTAAACTCATGCCAGGCACGTGTGCATGCGTGCCCAAGAGTCCGAGAGGGGAATGGAGGAGAAGGGATTGTGGCGTGGCCATCCTCCCTGGGGGGGGGGACTCCTCGCTTTCTCCCTCTCTGTCTCTCTTTCTGGCGGGCGCACGCGCCCTATAACAAAAACCTCTAAAAAAAAAAGTGTGGAAATGTTCATCTTAGCATCAGCAAGATACAATATATCTAGAAAACTGTTTTCTAAGTTTTGTGAGTAGGACCAGTGTTTTTAAAAAGAGTTACTTAACATGATCTTCCCCCCACCCTCCTTTTCTGGTTAGCTTTCTTGTAAACTGGAACGGGAATTTCGTTGTGTGGAACTTGCTGATCTGATGACTCAAAATGCTGTGAATTTAGCTATTAAATATGCTTCTCGCTCTCGGAAATTAATATTGGCCCAAAGACTTAGTGAACTGGCTGTAGAGAAGGCAGCTGAATTGGCAGTATCCCAGGCAGAACAAGAGGAAGAAGAAGAAGAGGATTTCAGAAAAAAGCTGAATGCTGGGTGAGGAATACTCATTTGTTAAATTTTTCTATAATCATCTTAAATATTAAGTTAGACTTTGTGTAGCTCTTTATTGAATAATAGTATTATCTTTTAGTTACAGTAATACTGCTACAGAATGGAGCCAACCACGGCTCAGAAATCAAGTTGAAGAAGATGACAAGGACAGTGGAGAAACGGATGATTTAGAAGAAAAACCAGAAATACATATACCTGGTAAGATATTTTCAAGGCAATAAAAGATGAGAAATGTCATGGGCATGTGGCTTTTCCCATTTTATTTGGATGAGGGAAGCTGGATAAATATATATCTATCTATAGATATATAGATAAACATGTATCTATATAGGTATAGATATATAGACACATATTTTGGCTAGAGGGCATGTGTACTTGCTGGGCAGTAGGAAGAAAGAGAATGAGAAAGCACTTAACCCCAAGGAACGGTCATGATCATGCCAGAACTTCTCCTCCACTTATCCCTTAGGGATTTTGGATATACATGCACATACCCCTAGCGTGTTTCTCAAGCCCTCAGGTCCAGGACTCAACTATGTACCTATACTTTTTTAGATTTTTGCTATAGGGTGTGTACGTTCACTGGAGAGAGACAGAAAGAGACAGTGAGAGGGAAAGTGAAAAATTACCTCCCAAGGCAGATGACCATGCCATGATTCCTTCTCCTCCACTGTCCTCTTGGGATTCTGGCAGCATGCACATACACCTGGCATGATTTTCAAGCCACTGGTTCTGGAACCTGAACCATGGTTGACCATGTGATAATCCAATGCCTTAACCACAATGCCACCTGCTACTTTTTTTTTTTTTTTTTTTTTTTTTCTAAAGTTTTT